TTTTTATTGAGGGGTTTTTTTTTTTTGCTTTTGTGTGGGAACTTGTGTTTTTTTTTTTTTTTTTTTTTTTTTTTTTTTTAACGTTCTGGCTCCTGCAATTCTTTGTTTAAATATCAGATGTAAAAAAATAACCAAACCCAAAACAAAGCCAGAGAAGAACATATTGATCCAAATGTGTCAGAAAACTGCACTCCCCAAGATGCTTTTAATTCCTCTCAGGAAGTGGCAAAGAAAGGCCAAATACAACAGATGTATTATAACAACACAAATACGTAACCTTCCTTCTTTTTACTTAACATAATCAATATCAAATATTTCATCTTTATTTTTTGATGAGATGAGGATTCTCAACTGCTGCAAAAGCTCCAAAATAGATTTAGAATTAACACCAAGCTATGATGTTAGCCTAAGTCTTTCCAGACTCACCCTCAAATGGCAGCATATGCGCAGAAACTAGCATTAAAATATTTACTTGGTTAGTTTCGTGGGATTTTTCTTTTATTTATATTCTATATTTATTTTGTTAATGGTCTAAATTGAACTTTATGTAAATAGACGGCACACCCTAACCCGCCTGTAAAACAATTATTTGTCATAAATTAAAAAAAAAATATGCCTGATAAAGAGCTAAGCATCACAAGAAAGTTCTCGTGAACATATTTTCACTATCTCTAAGCAACGCAATGACAACAATCTCAGTAGAGCTGGGACACTAAGTGCCAGAAAGTGTAAGACAAATTGTGCTTAAAAATATTTTTGCAGTTGAAAAAGTACCTACTTTCAAAGTACTTATCACCATCATCTAGAGAAAGGTAGATTAAAGTGTTAATTGCTTACTGAAAGGCAGTTACACCTCAACATGAAGTTCGGCTTACAAAAGTTTTTATGTCAAAGTCTAGCTTCCATGGACTGTAAAGGACTAGAAAAGATCCTAAACTCTCTGGAGACCTCTTTTCCACCACGGGCAATGCCCGTGGCTTGCACTGAGACCCTGTATTCCAAACTTCATACATGTATGCATTTCCTTTACGACGACGTATGACAGAGGCATCTGCGCCTTCTTCCTTACAGCAGGATGTCTTTTGGTGGGGACACCACTTGAAACTATACCTCATTAGCTACTTCTCTAGCGTGGGCAAAACATTTGACCGCAAAAGGTAAACAAACCCAAATCCCTGCTCCAAACTGGCCATAAATTAAAGGATTACAAAAAGAAGGAAAAAGTAAATCAGAAGTGGAATCAATATAGTCTTTTTCTCCCTGGTAACTGCATTAAACAAACAATTGGCTAAAAAGCCTGTTATATTATCAGGCTAATCTACTACTAACTTCTGGAAACAGAACTCTAGTCGAAAGACATTCAGAAAACGGAATCCCCATTCTAAGGTTTTGATAGAATTTCAAGAAGAAACCAATGTCCTTCATTAATTTAATGGATTCTGGACATCAAGAAATAGGTTTTTGGAAGATGAGGGGCATGTATAAGGAAAATATTTTAGTATTGGGAAGATACCAGTTTCCACATAGAGCAAGAGGACAGTGGAGTTGACAAGGTGTGCGAGGAACACCAGAACAGTTTCTGAGTTTTAGGACAAAAAGGTAGATGCTTAAGATGATTTGTGGAACAGCACTGGTGGAGACTGCAGCATTGCAAAGTCCCTGTCAGACAAACAGGCTGTCTATATTGCCTGCTGGCTAAAAAAGAGCAGAGTGCACTTATGGAGATAAGGCTTTTACTCTGCACTGTGCCAAGTGTTTTCTCAGAGAATAAGCCACTTCACATTTCTATGTCTTAGTTTCTTCATCTGTAATATGAATATAATAATCCACACCCAATTTACAGAAGGGTTTTGCAGTGCAAAACAATATGGCTAAACAAAATGTTTCTTTAGCAAGGCAATACCTGACACCGTTCAGCGCATGACGTTTCTCTGACGTCCCCCTACGCTTTCGCTCTCCTTCCCCTGGGCTGTTAGCCAGTCCTTGTCAGATTTGACCATCTGCTGACCACTACACGGGCTGCTCCCGACCAGCAGCAGCGTGTGCTGGCTGCAGCCAGAAGCACGAGGGGCTTTTTGAGAGACAGCACAGGGAAGGAGGGTGTGGAATGAAGTCCCACCACGGCAGCTCCACCGTAGCTGTAGTCCTACTGCTGAGGGATGCCCTATGAAACAAATCCGTAGCAAATCAGTTTCCACCGCTTTCCCTTTTTAATAGTGGAGAACGATACGAGTACTCGTGGTGCTTGATAGCAACAGTCCTACTACTGTTGGTGCTGTAGGAAAGCTCCGCTGAGCCTCCCCAGCAGGTCTCTCTTTCATCTTCTCCCCCACAGCTGCCTTAACTGGAATAGCAATCAGCCTAATACAGCTTGATAACCATCATCCCACCAAGGAAGGGAAAAAGGTACGGCAGCACTGGAAATATTCTCTGCCATTTGAGAAAGGCTTCCTGTCAGTTGCTGCTCTCTGCAGAAGTATATGTTTAAACACACTACCTAGAAGACTGCTATTTTTAGTACAGGGGTGCACTTCAAAGCATTTCCTGCTCAGAAAGTCACACCAAAAGTAAAAGGAGAAAACGTCATGGCTCTGCTGCCTCCCAACACCCCGATCCCCCTTGCAGAGGCCATCCCACTGCCGCTCTGCTGCGGTTTCCAGAGAAACTGCACACTCCAGTGACTAATTACTTAAAAATACAACATTCCTCGGGGAGGAGAAGTTTTAAATAAACCTGCAAAATAGGTAACACAAGCACACGGCTAATTTTTACACACAGGAGGAAGAAGGCGGGTGGGGGGGGGAAGGACGCAGGGGATGGAAGAATTTAGCACAAGAATCTGTGTTCTAGTCTTGTACTAAATAGTTCCAGCTTTGATCTAAATTTAGGCAATGAGCACTTCCTGTGGGAGACCGTCTTCCAAAGCTGAAAAGTTTTTGATGCTAAATATTTTCAGTGATTTTATAATTGGGGTAAAGTGGTTATTTGTTTAAAGGCCTGGCCTTCAGCTAGATAAACGCTTACATTATTTTATATTCCCCACCATTTCATCTCCTACTCCACGTTGGACTTCCCCTGTTTATTCAGCTCCGGGTTTCACTGCATTTTAAGTAGGTTTTAGAACGCTATTTACAACCAGCGGGAGCTACAAAAGCCCTTCTGTCATTATCCAGCAGCCTTCCATCACAGCTGTGGGACTGGCTTCCCCTTACCTCAGTGCTGAGGAAGCCCCAACACTTCAGCCCTTACCACTTCATCACGACTCCTGCACCGCTTCGTGGTTTTCTGAATAGCCCCGACTCCTGGACCTTCCTGTACCTCTGCTCCCCTTTCTCGTGGGAGACAATGTCTGTCTTCAAATTTTAAGAAAAGGCAATACATCCATAGTCCATACGCCAACACCCTCAAATCCCTCCCCTGACCTCAGAGACACGAAGCCTAAAAATAAAAAAATGAATAGACTATTCACTTTACAAAGTTCATAATATTGGGGACCTGATTTTCAAATGCTTGAGGCTGGCAATGCTTGTAGACACTGAAGTCTCTTTCTTGAAAGCCACTCTTATAGTTACATATTTACATTTAGGGTGAGACACAACTTGCCTATCTTTAGTCATGAAAAAGTAAGGCAGCTAGTTTAAACTGAACATCTAGGCTACCACTAGTCAATGGGAACATCACTAGAGAGCAGCTTACCTTCCCTATTTCAGACACACATTAGGATAAGATAAAAAAAATCCCGGAGTATTTTTTCTGTTTTTCCATCAACAATAAAATGAGCTCGTAGGACTGGACAGCCAACTTCCACAGGGGACAAAACCTGCTCTTTGCGAATGGGTTCACAAGCTAAGCTGTTTCTTGTCTACTCCACAGAGATCGTGAAAGAGGAAATTTTAATTCTTTGACAAATTTAATTCTTGGGGAGTAAACCATCTGAAGACCATGATTTTTATCTACTTAGACATAATTTTTTTGGTGATTACCAAATTCTATGTTCTTGTCCAGTATCAAATACTGAGAACCAAAGGATCTCTGCCTTCAATCCAATATTGACTTTAATGTGTAAGATCTGAACTAGGAATTGAAGTCTATTAAATATTTTTACAATAGTTTATTGTTGCCAGTTCAGCTGTGAATTTCTTGATATCTGTGTCTTTCTAGCCTAACAAAGCATAAGTTCTCACGGAGAATCTAAGCCCTCCCTCTACAGGCACTACAAAATAGTAGCTATATTCAGGACTAAACTAACATCCAGGCTTGAGGATTAATCCCTGTAGAAATTAGTGTAATTTGGCTCAGTTCCCCCTAAAGCATGGGAAGGATTGAAAAACCACAATTGCTTCTACATAATGGCAATAGCTGTTAAATTCTGTTGAAACACAAGAAGTGAAGCAACCTTAGGAGACGCTTGGATAACTGAGATTTTAACAATGCTGCATCCCCACTGTAGTGGTGTGTTTGGCCTCTACATTTGTGGTTATAACCATCGTTGAAAGAACTGTCTACTGGTTAGAGACTGCCAAAAGGGCAAAGTGAAAAAAAAAATTCAATGCTGTGACTTAGGGCTAAGAAAATGTTGTCTATCCCTCCTCAGCCTGAAAATACAATATAGAAAGTATAAAAAATGATGTATTTATATAAACACAATAATAAAAATACAACAGATTTACAAAAATAAACAAGCTCAAACCCAGTCTGCACATTAAAAATACACAATATTTTAAAAGTGAAGGATATGGCTATGAATGAGAATCATGAACATTTGCACAGTGTATAATCTGATCATGATTTACAAACTAAAGCTTCATGCACAGGGCACTGCCTAGGGATTAATGACCAGCTGGGAGAGTTGATAGTGTAGGACAAAGCTAAGGATCATTAACTCCAGCTAGTTATAAACTCCCCAGAAAATGCCTTATACTAAAATTGATATTGTAATTACCCATTTTATAAATAAAATAAACCGTAATATTGAAGTAGCAAATTGCTTTTGCTGCATCCCTTTTTCTTACAAAGCTCTGAAAACTGAAGCATTCTGGGTGATGTGAACCTGGTGCTTTTTGAAAGTGAATTCTGCATGAAGGCCAGTGAAATAACACTTTTTAGCACAGGTCCTAACAACATACAGTTTATTAGTATGTTGGGCAGCAGAGCAACAAGCAATCGTGCACAGAACACAAATTCTGAATGCAAAATTCAATGCAGATAACCTTGCACAGAGAGAAGTGATCTCTGCACTGAACAGTTAATCATCCATGGGAACTTGGGGTTGAATATAAAAACTTTTCAGGTAAAAAAACCAAACAAACAACAACAAACCCCCCCTAACTGGCACAGAAACAAGGGAAGTCTATTTGCCTTGATTTTAATTTGCAGCTCAAGTATAGCACAAAGACCAGTAATGCAAAGTTGGTATCAGTCCTTTCAAACAACTCCTGTCCTTGAGCACGAACCTGCTTTACATGGCAGAAGCGTAGTTGCTATGCTGGCCTAGGTCAAGAGCCCATCTAGCCCACAGCAGTTCAACAACAGCCTATGGGAAAAGCTGTCAATAAGTTAGCATTAACCAACAGTTACAAGTATTTTCTCTTCATCTGACAACCATCTGGGAAAGGTTCCCCAGCGTTCAGTCCCTGAGTTATCCATCTCCTCCCAGGCAGAGTCTGTTCTTTTAGGCAGAGTGATGATCACAACTTAGTAACACCAGCTGGAAAATTGAGTGAAGACTGGATTTCAAAAGACATGTAACAGCCTCTTGAAGTGTCAAGAGATTACTCCTAGAGGAAGTCTGGAAAAAATTAAGATGG